AGCCGCCGGAGGATGCCGGCCCCGGCCCCGGCGGTTCCCCCGGCCGCGACCCGCCGCCCGACTTGGCCTCCGAGGAGGAGGAGCAGGTGCCTTACCCGGCGCTGGCACCCACCGCCTTCTTCTGCCTCAAGCAAACCACCCGCCCGCGCAGCTGGTGCCTCAGGCTGGTCTGTAACCCATATCCTTTCCCCGAGGGACCCCCCACCCATTGGGACGCGCACCCCCCGGGACCCCCTCCCCGAGACCCGGAGCACCCCGTCGGGGCTCTGCGTCCCGGGGGCTCACGGCTCCCTCCAGCGCACCGGGATGCCACGAAGCCTCCGGGGTCCCTTGAGTGTCCCCCACCCCGTGTTGTCCCAATCCCCAGTCTCGGGGAGGGGGATGTGGGGCTTTGCAGGAGCAGGACGGGTGGGGAGCGTGTCCCCCCTTCTCCCATGCTCATGCCACTGTTTTCAGTTGGGGGGACACACGCCAAGGTCCCCTCGGCTCCACCAGCATCATCCGACTGTCCGGTGTGGGAGCAAGAGGGACGGGGCGGCGGGACAAGGTGCCCGGTGGAGGATGCTGAGCCGCAGCCCCCCAGAACCCGCAGAGAGGAGAAACCCCTCAACTTCACTCATCTCTCGGTGGGGCGGGAAGGAGCGAAGTTTAAAGACAACCTGGTGTTTATTTCAGCCGCGGTGGGGAATTTGAGACAGGCGCTGACCCTCTTGCTGTTTATATAAGCGAGCTCGGAGTGCATGTGCGCTTTCTCGTCGCAGAAAAATGGAGTGGGTTGGAGTTGGTCTGGGGAAAGCACACGCCGCGCTCGTCTCGGGTCCCCAAAACTCCCCTTTGCTTTTGTTCTCTCATAACTTGCAGGCAGGGAAGGAAGAGGACAGTCAAGCCTCTAAATCTCCCCCCTCCCCTGTGTCCTTTACTCAGTTTATTAATGTTAAATGAAAAAAAAAAAAAAAAAGAAAAAGCAGTGCGTTCCCCTCGGTTGTGACATCCAGAAAATTGCATTTTACCCGAAATGCTTGCGTGCAAGCGGAGAGTTGTCAGTCTGTCTTGATAATCTTCAGAAAGTGGGCTTTTAGCTTTGCTCCGCACGTCAGCTCAGAAGCATTGACATCGTGCAGATAATTAATGCTTTTACCTACCCCTGATACCTGCCTGCAGTTCGCTGCCTATATCCTGCCGCTGCTATTAAAAGCATTATTTATTAATATGGTTATTATTGATCTCGCCTCAGTTAACCAAAGAAACCCGTGTGCATCTGAGATCACTGTTTTCTTCAGCAACACCACCAAGTTGAGTGCTGCCGTTCAGAGGAATTGCACAATCCTCCCCAGAACGCTGCCTTGAGCTGTTATTAGGAGAAATACTTGGAGGGGAAACCCACAATTTTTCTGGCCTTGGGTCTCCTCTCGTTTGAACTAGATTTACACGAAATATTGACTTTTGCAGCTATATTTCTGATTTACAGTGTCGCGAGGGGGAACCGGGCTCTTAGATGCGGGTAGATGGAAGGGAGAAGTAAACAAGTAGTTGAGCTCCGCAGCGATGCTTTAGCCGTATAAATATTCAGTGTAAATTATGGTTCTGTAACAAAAAACGTGATACACCTGGTCCTGGAGGGGCTTGGGGAGGGCACTGCGTTCTTCTTGCAGCTGCGAGTGAGCTAAGGCAGATCTCGTCCCTTTAAAGCAGGTTACCGTCTTGCAAAACTTTGGGGGCAGACGGGAGGGAGAAGCCCTCTCCTTCGGCTTTGGTGGGGTCTCGCGCTCCCACGCCGCGCTCTGGGTTCGGCATCCCCAAAACCGGCACCGCCTGCCAAATTAACCCCGCAGCCAGACGAAAACAGAGCGGGGTCGGCAGGGAGCGAGGGAGGGTTGTGTAGAAGAGGGTTCAGGTGTGCTCGTGCCACCGTGGGGTGAGGCTGTGCCTTTATTTTGCCTTTTGGCATCTCTCCTGAAGAATTCACGGGAGAGCGAGTTGCTTTGCAGAACTTGCCCGTCTGACATAATAGTAGATGAAAATTGTGACGGTTGGTTAATAGCGAAGCAGAAATTTAATAAAACTACATAAGCCCTGTGTTGTAGCCTTATTGCTGTCAGAGCCGGTCTGTTTTGGTTGTAGAGGAACAAAGCTCAGGGCAGATCGCAGCAGTAGGCACAAAGCTCCTCGCTGGGATTTTTTTCCCCTTCTCCCGGTCACCAGCAGTCCCACGCGTCACCGTGAGAGTAATCCTTTGGTGTCGGCTCTTAAGTTTCTTGGCATGAGCCCTCGCGTTGCTGGTGGCGGTGATTTCTGCAGCTGCTTAACGAAGGTGCGTTGAGCATCCTCGAAGCGAGGAGATGTGCGTGTCGCTCAGGAGCTGGTGCTGTGCCCCGGCGGTGCCGGGAGCGGGTGGCACTGCAGGCAGCCGGAGATCGGGCAGCTCGGGGACGAGTGCCACCGCCGTGGGGCTGGGACGCTTGGAAAGCAGCTGGATGGGGAGACTGCTCGAGGAGGAGCGCGGGCGGATCAGGGCCATAAGGGCTGAGATTCCCCAAACGCCTGTCCCCAGGGGGGGAAGAGTAACTTGATGGTGGTTTTTGGCCCGTTGTGCAGTTTTGGTGACTCTTCCTGCCCACCCAGAAGCACAGATCCATAAAGCATGATAAGGAGCTTTATGGTTGTGTTAAAATCTGGACCCTGTTACAGAAGGAAGGGACGTGACTGTGAAGTTTTCTAAAAATCTGAGTCTGAAGATCTTCGCTGAGGTGCTCGCTCACCTGGGAAGCAGTAACCCCTTTGAAAAAGCCGCTTCTCCCCCTCAATGGTGCATTTTCTTGCTGGGCGAGTTGTCCTTTGCTGTCTTTGGGGTTTATTTAGGGGGGGAGGAGGAGGAGGTGTCCCTCCGTGCCCCCCGATGCCCGTGTCCCTCCTCTCCCCGTGCTCACCAAGGGTTTCCCAGTGTGGGAGCGCATCTCTGTGCGTCTCCCCCGCGGTGTTTCATCACCAAAACGTGCTCAGGCTTCCACGTGCCGCTGAGCAGAACAACTTCACCCCTGTGTCCCCAGGCTGCCCACGGGCTTGTCCGTCTGTCCAACATGCTTGGAAAAGCAAAGGTGTCCCATCCTGCGCATTCAGGGTCCGGTTCCCAGCGGGTTCCTGTTGGTTTTTGGGGGTGGTCCTATGGGATGCTCCCGGCAGAGGCAGGGACCCGCATACCGCCGTGCCGTGGGGTTTGCACCGCAGACCCGGGCGCGACAGCATCCGAAACACCAAATGCCACCGCAGTTCAGGGAGTGCCGTCGGGCGCATCTCGCGTGGGGCTCCGGGCAAAACCCCCGTCAATCCAGATGGCCTGAACCACCAAAGCCGCCCGGCCGCTCCGAATATTTGTCGGTAGCAGAGATAGCCCAGACCTGTGGCCTGGAGCAGGTGGAAATCCTGCGTGGCTGGGCCAAAAGCGTGGTTTGCCTCTGCGGCTTAAGCAGAGGGGGTTACTGCCAGGCTTAGAAATAGCTAAAAAAAGCTATTGCCTGGTTCTCGGGGGGACAGGTGGGGGGGGATCAGCTTACGGGGCCGGGAGCCTTCCTAGCCGATGGCACGCGGCTGCCCCAAGGGCTGCGCATCGGAGGGGAAAACGGGGGAGTGGGCAGATGTAGTAGATGCACGGTTGTGTTTTTAATAGCTGTGCCGCGTTTGGGAATGTGAAGAACAACCTGGAAAAAATCCTGCTCCTTTTGCATGGTTTTGTATTTATAAAACCAACAAACTTCTGAATTCTCAAGCAACAGAAAGTGAAAGATGTGCGAGGAGCTGATTTTCAGGTGTGGGAGCAATAATAAAAGGGTCGTGTCCATTAAAGTTTAATCAAAGGAGCAGAAAGTGTTTGGACTGGCTCTGGGTCCGATTTTCAGGGTTGACTCTTGTCGAGCTGTTCGCTGTGTAGGGTCATTCTTCAGCTTTCCAAAGTGATGGCTCCAGCACAGGAGTCTCCTTCCGAGCTCCAGGGTTACCTCCAAACCCAAATTCAACCAGAAAGTCACTTGTACGTGACAGTTCAGAGCAAATAAACAGCCCAAATACAGTTCTTTTGACATGGGCAATGGTTGAAATTGAATTTCCACTGTCAAATTGTGTTTTCCCTCAGTTATTACTGATGTACATTTAATTTGCCTTTTTAAAAAAAAAAAAGATATGTAATTGGAAGCAAACTTACTTATTTCTTCAGTCCTGGATCTCCTACGTGGGTTTATTTATAGAGGTCCGTGGGTGGGACTTTGTGTACTGGGTGTGCACGTTGGGTGGTATAGAGCAGGATTTGGGGTTTTACAATCCTGCGAGGTCCTTTCCCGCCTCTCCCCAAGTGCCGTCGTTAATTAACAGCTCTACAGAAACACAGAGCTATGCCTGTATCCACATGGATTTTTTTTTTTTTTCTGTTGCTAATGTTTTGCTTAATGAAACCTCGAGTCACCTTTTTGTCAATCCCTGGATGTCCCTGTGCCTCGGGGCGGGGGGGATGTTTGGATGCAGCTCCTGGCCCCTGCTGGTTCACACATGTGGGACCCAGTGATGGACTGGGCTGGCTATTGGCAGCCGGTGCAGTCCGCGTGCCCGAGACGGAGCATTTGGGAGGAACACTGACTTTGTGCCCGTCGCCAGCACCTTGCATTGCTGCGAGGGGTTTTGCTGTACAAGGGACTGGAAGCCGGGATGGAACGTTAATCGCGCAGCGGCGATTAAACCTGCTTTCCATCACGGCGCCGAGTGTCAGCTTTGCAGCATGGCTTTGATAAGGCTCGAGCAACTTTGCTGGTTATTTAGTGATTCATAAAAACACGCAGTGATTCATTATAGGTTGAATTCTGTGTGCCTTAGTCAGAAAAAAACCTCCGCTGATTTATTTTCTCAAGTGGCTACAGAGCTTGTTGGTGCCAGCTGATTTCTGCGGGACTTGGCTCTGTTCTCCTGTTTGGGTAGAGTCTCTGCTTGCATGAAATCTGGTTTTTATTTTCTTAATATTTTTTTTTTCTGAAGTGCTTCTCCTAGCAGCACTTGCTGGTTGCCCTTACAAGCACTTTGGGGCAGACCTAACATCCACAATAACATCCTGCGTGTTATCTCCGAGCACTCCTCAGTATAGGTGGCTATAAGTACATTTAGATGGTGAAAACCTGTATTTCGTACAAAATGATGTGT